AGATGAATTAAATTAATTTTTTTTGGCACTTTCGTTTTTCGCGATTATCTCGGAAACTATGAGAGATAGAGCCTTAAAACCAAATTTTGGTCCCCTTTAGGTTGGCCTTAAAAATACATCATTATGGAAATTTCATCCAGAAGAAAATAGCTAATTAACCACCAAAAATATATTATCTATGTTGTGACGAAAGTATTTTCCCCTTTCCTTGTTTTGCTTATTTTTTTTTTTGATCTCCATTTTCTGACCCTCTCGCCCCTATTTCTGATTCTTACGTTAATTTCTCGTCTCAATTTCCCATTGTCAGAAGTCAATTTAGATTTTTTGAATATTAAGAATGCGGGTGAATTAATGATGTAATTAACATGAATTCGTGATAACTTTTGTCGAGACACATCGATTGAAGTGATATCGACAGTTGTCTCCGAAAATTTGTGAGCTTTTGCTGATAAGATCTGAATGTTCAATTGGTATCGAGCATCTCCTGGGGCTTTAAGGGACAAATTGAGAGGTTTTCGGTGGATTTTTCAGGCCCCGGAGCCAAGTATCTCACACTGCCCGGTATCCTCGGTGCTGGGCTACCAAAAATATCAACTGAACAGCAGGATGCTGTCAACAAGGCGAAGAAGTATGCCATGGAGCAAAGCATCAAGATGGTCCTGATGAAGCAGACCCTCGCCCACCAGCAGCAGGTATGGATTACAGGATTTTTCAGTCGGAGAGTAAAGTCCAGTCACATCTTACGATTTTTTAAATGTCAAGTTCAGTCGAATGAGTTGGACCTCTGACTGAAGATTTTAATTAAATTTTCTCCAGAATCATCGAAATAGCTCGTCCCGCCGAGACCCCATATCCCTAATTAAAGAGGAAAATCAAAATTATCGACATTCTTTAACACAGAAATAATTTCTCGACAAAATGCGACGGTTCGCGTTGAGACATTGTTTACAGAAAATGTTACATATTCTGATCACACATCGTATAATTCAAATGTGTAGAATGTGAGGATTACAATTTCTGTAGACAAGGTCTTGAGGGGTTTCATTGGTGAAGAAAAATCATGATATTGATTCTAAATTTTTATAGAACGTTCATCACAGTTGGTAAATTATATATAATTTTTTGAAGAATTTTTCTAGATTTCGTCGCCAAGTTATTATCAATCAAAGCCATTTCTCCTACATGGACCCTTATGGAGACTTCCAGTTACCATGAAACTATACTATAAACAGAAAAATCTCCAGATGAGCTCATACATATGAAATCACTTTAGTTGTCAATAACTTGAAAACGAAATCTAGAATAATTCAAATATAATCCAACTGTCATTATAGACTCATTATTTACCTTCTTCGTAAAAATTACCTCAATGCAAAACATCGAATGCCTTCAAAAATCACTAGAAAATTCGCGTCAAATCGTCTGAATGAGGAAAAAAAATCTGACAGGTTGATTTTTTCTCCCTGCAGAAGAATAAGTTGGTCCTCCGGCAGCAAGTTTTATTGCTAATGTGCAGGTTAGTATCAACGTTACGAGAAAATATTCTCCCTTTGTCAAAGTAAGAAAATCAGACCCAAAAATACATTTTTTTTTAAATACCGAGAATATTGTTGTCGGCGGGAGCTGAGCTGTACCCTTGCGAGACCAAGTTTTACTGCATGAAACGGAGGACGAATATACAAAGTAAAGTTTCTAATTCACTCACAAAATATTCCTTTTTTTTAAATTTGTAAATTTGTTCAATGACATGAGAATCCTGGACCCGGAATTGAAATTTGGAGGAGAAAATCAAGTAGTTATTCATTCAATTTGTAATTTGGGGGGGG